TTACTGAAGTTAAGTTACACCAATGACATGAATTCAGGCTTCAAAACCCCCTTGAACTGAAGAAGAAAGATCAGCCACATGTATTGACGTAGAAAGTAAAAAAACTAAGAAAAAGACTCCACTGTCGTTGTCCCTCCCTTTTAACCTAAAAACTCTTCAATAAATAACATATTTTTCCTTCATTCTACCCCAGGAATCACGGAAATTACTTTCCTAGATCTTTGCTAAAAGATAGACTTCCAAAATTGTCAAAATCTTATTAGATATGGAAAACAAAATTCGTCTCCAGCTTTCACCAGGATTCTCGCAATGTAAAAAACCTCTTCTGGGCTTGATCACTTCATAAACGTTGTAGTCCCAGATGTGTAGATAAATCTGGGCTTTTGAATCACTTGCTTTTGATATTTGAAACTCTAGTTAGGCCCATTCGAAGACTCAACACTCAGCCAGGAATCCTTCTGCGAGTAGGATTCCAGGTCCAGTTTTGCAACAACTAATGATGTCCCAAACAAACTCGGATTCTCGTCCATAATACCTTCCTGGAAAGCTTGATTCGTCTACTTTCCTTTTCTGAAGAACACTTTTGCAATCGAGAAATCTGACTCCATGAAAAACCTGAAAAACGCAGCACTGGTCAGAATAACAAAAATCTGGAATTTCCTAATCTTTTCTCAATTATTTCCTAAAGTCTATCCAGATATGCCAAACTTACAAAATAAACTCTAATCAACTCAACTAGGCATAAAACATAACAAAAAACATAATATGGAAGGAATAAAAATATATAAATTACACTCTTATCAGCTTCCTTCCAAACAAGTCACAATAATAAAATGATTATTTATACTTGAGTGACTTTGAAAGGATAAACAAGAAACCAAACCTGTTTTGGAAATGATTCTTAAGATCCTAGACTCCTTTATAGGAAAGAATTCTTTGATTTATAATCTCTTTATAAGAAAAGAATTCTTAGAATCATAATCTTCTTTTAGGAAAATGATTCTTGAAATCATAATTAAATAAAATCTTTTCCAGCTTACATAATATATAATGTCCACAAAATATCTTTCTACAATTGGAAATATAATCATATTTAATTAAGGCATGTGCGATATGCATGAATATTAAAATAAAATCTAACAGACGTGTTGTGATCATTGTGATTTAGTTTTGAACACCTTTAAAGTGAAACTAAATAGATTGTGCACTGATCCAAATGAATAAGTTGACAAAACAAAAATACTTGCAAATGCCAATTGTTTTTTTATCAAATTGTTACTGACGAAATTCTTTCTGTACATCAGCTTATTGCATCTCTTGGAACTGAACAAGAGTTGTTGAAGATCAAGTCATGTTCACATGATAGTGTGAGAGGTTTGATTTATATTTATAAGCAAAATAAAATAAACTCTTCGCTAACGTATGGGTTAAGGGAACCGTTTATTATATACTTTCCAACCAATGAAGCCGACCTCTAGTCAAAGTGATCAATGAATAACCGTTCTATACAAACCTAATAAGCTCACTCAACATTATCCAACTTAAAACAACTGAAGTTAAAACTGATCAACAGAACAGGGCAGACAGAGTAGTTTGTACATAAGCTTATTAAAATAAAGACAGGACAAAGAAGAACACAATACTCTATGTTACAGAAGTACCTTCTATATTTGGAATGCTAATATTAACATACCTCCCTTTTAATTTTTTTTTTTAAATAAAGGCTTTTAAAGCTGCTGAAACTTTCTTTTTGAAAGTGCTTTTTTATTTTTTGGTATACGCTTATAAACATCAAAAATACTTTATTACTTTTGTAAATGAATTAAAACTTGTAGCTATATAAATATTTTTTTGTAGGTTATATTATATATATAAGTATTTTCAAGAGTAATCTCACACCTTGGTGAATAGCTTTCAACATACGCAATTGAAATTGAATGCTCTAATTATTTTTTTAACATACATTTGAAGTTGAAAATGAATCATGGTAGTAACATTCCAGTTGAATAATATCCAGAGATCTGCTAATAGACATGAACATGCTCAAGGAAATTGGACAGAGATTCTATAATTAATAGTGCTCATTGTTTTACCATTTCATTACAAATTGATTATACAATGATGTATAATTGCTTCTGGCAAGAAACCAAACTGGGAATCATGGAGATGATAAACCAATATTTGGTCTCTGCATTTCTTGGCATAGTAGCTTTACAGCTCTGGTTTATGCCCAGAATCAATCAGGTTTTTATACCTCCAATTTTAAATATTCTTAATTACCATACATGCAATAACCTTATCTGTTAATTTATCTTTTTGTTTATCTTCTCTCACGTTTTATTAGCATAGATTGTGGAATACCTGAAAATAATCCTAGCTATATTGATGAGATAACAGGTATAAATTACTCTTCAGATGCAAGCTTCACAGAGAGTGGTATAAGCTCTAATATATCATCTAAATACAAAACTTCCACCCTTGAGAAATAATTTTTAAGTGTTAGAAGCTTCTCTGAGGAAACAAGAAATTGTTACACCCTAAAACCTGAAGGTGGCTACGATAAGTTTCTGATCAAAGCAAGATTCATGTATGGAAATTATGATGGGCAAGGCATTCTGCCAAGTTTTAATCTATTTCTTGATTCTGATGTGTGGGATTCAGTGGTATTTGAAAACTCATCTTCGATTATTACCAAGGAGATTATCCACATCTCCCAGAGAAATTATATACATGTCTGTCTTCTAAACATAGGCTCTGGAACACCTTTCATTTCAGCATTAGAATTAAGGCCATTGATAAATTCTATTTATGTAACGAAATCAGAATCATTACTACTCGTGGGGCGTTGGGATATCGGTTCAACATCTAATCAAGTAGTCAGGTAAATAATTTAGAATCACCTAAATTTAATCTCTAAGTTGATCTAATCTTGGTTACTAACTAAAAGTGTGTAACAACTACTTTCTTCTACCAAATTCATAATATAGATTAATAAAAAGACAGCATAATTATCAAAACAGTTGGGTCCAAAAATTTTTCTTTACTTAATAATTACATTCTTTACAAAGTACACCATCATTTGTACAAAAGACTCTCAAAAACGAAAACAGGGGATAGTGTAGCCAAGTCTCCCCGCTTGCCGACATCCCTCCAACCAGGTCCTCACCTATGCCCTGTACAACAAGGAAAACACGAAGTGAGCACAAAGATGCCCAGTAAGTAAAAAATTCTCTTACTCTATTATCCCCGTGGATTACTCATCAATTTAAAAAAAATCTCATTTTTCTTTCTTTCTTTTCTTTCTATTCCTTTCTTTTTCTCAATCTCATTCCGCTTTCTCATGGCAGAGACCGCTCTCTCTCATAGCGGTTTACATGCATTCCGCTCTCTCATGGCGGAGACCGTTCTTTCTCATAACGGTTTACATGAGGGTAACTCTACACTCACGAGTTCCCCATCGCACAACCTATTTTCTTTTCTTTTCTGTAGCACTTAATAATCACTTTATCCTCTAGTGCTAGTTCTTTCTTTCTCTTTACTCTAAGAGAATTGGTTCTTTTCTTTATCTCTATTCATAGAGTGTTTCTTTCTCATTTCTCATATTTCTTTCTCATGTGATTACTCAATTAAACATATGCATATGGATGACTCATGCCTAAAATCTTTCTTATATGCATTCATGACATGCAAATATGCTATGTTGCATAAAGTAAGGTTCTCTACTTCTACTCATGCTTCTTTTAGACATTTCATCAAACAATATGTGTGCATACCAAAACTTTATTCTCACTTTAATTATACTCCTTTCTTAATCATCCAAAATAGGAGTTCAACTCCTTTAAAACATCATACAACCTGCAAGGGAAAACACACTTCAAATATTCCTCTCAAATTCTTCAAATTCTATCCACACTTCTACCCAACTTTAACAACACAATCCACCCTTCTCATGGTGGAAATTCTTTCATATAACAACCTTGAACTCATCAACTCATTTCAAACATAGAAATTCAAGCATCAAGCATATATCTAAAAATCTCTACACATCATTCAATCAAGTAAATCACAACTTAGGTGAATTTACTTACCTTGGACACAAGTAGAAACCACTTAACCTCTCTACTCTTGATGGTTTGATACTTTCTCTTAAACCTTCAATACAAAACTTAATAAGGATCCTACTCTTTCAAAAATAAAAATTACTTCTAGAGTAAGGATTCTCACCTTTTTGTGCTTAGGGTCAACTTGTAACAATTTCTAGTCAAAAGCTCTTCAAGGATCCTTGGAAACTTGAATGAAAAATTGAGAGAAATAAGGGATGAAAGAGGCGGTGGTGAAGAAACAAATGAAAGGGTTTCTAAAGCTAACCCTTAATATCACATATTTTCTCCATTCTTTCCCAAAATACCCTTACTTTTTCTTTGAAATTCCATCTAAGACCTTTCATTCTTTGCAAACACAACCCCAATCAAACTATTCTCCATGCAATTTCCTTACATTCCACTCCCCACTTTTTCTGCTAAGAAGGGGTAGAATGGTCATTGAGTCTCAAAAGGAAGAATTCTCAAAAACTCAAGGGGAACATTCAGCCGAGTCTTCGCCGCGGCGAAGCTATTTTCTTCGCCCCGGCGAATGCTCACAGAAGCTACACAGGTTGTAGCACCTCCTCATCGCCGCGGCAAAGATTCTTCTTCGCCCCGGCGAAGATTATAACTTTAATATTTCGCCAAGTCTTACAAATTTTCAGGGAAATCACTCAACCAAACCAATATTAACAACATACAGACTCAAATGAGGATAAATCAATAAACATTCAAGCCATTCATCAAATCTTAACTACGTACCTCAAGTGGGGTGTTACAAAGTGTTTATTACATTTATATATGCATAAAAAGGATGCTTATGATCGCAAATGGTTACCCTACAACTACATCAAATGGGAACCAGTAAGTAACTTGGTCACTTTCAACCAGACTAATTATCAACTCCTATCTAAAATCATGAGGGCTGCTGTTATTCCCACAAATGATGGCAATTCCCTGCAATTTTACTGGCAAATTATTGATCGGAAAGTTCAATATTATGTGTATTGCCATTTTTTGGATGTTGAAGTCAAAGAAGGTAACCAAAGTAGAGAGATGAACATCTTTGCGAATGGAAAGCTTTGGTATGGGCCTTTTATTCCCAATTCCTCCTACACAACAATAGTGGTTATTGATGATCCCTCGGTTGAAAATACAATCAAGGTCTCAATCAACCAAACCGAGAATTCAACTCAACTGCCCATTCTCAACGCTCTTGAGATATATACTACAAAAGAATTCCCACAATTGTTAGCTGATCAACAAGATGGTACAATTCAAACTTCATTTATTTATTTTAGAGTAGTCACGTTTACTTGATCAGTTCTTACTGCAATGTAACAAATTATTAGTTGATGCAATCCTGAAGATAAAGGCAATATATGGAGTGAAAAGAAATTGGCAAGGAGATCCATGTGCCCCTAAAGCTTATTTGTGGCAAGGTCTTAATTGCAGCTACAATGAATATAAACCACCAAGGATCATATCCCTGTAAGTTTACACCTAGAAGCTAGAAGCCTACTCTTCAATGTTGATGATCTGCTGCTGTTAATGAAGTGGCTTACTTATAGGGACTTATCACTGAGTGGAATAGTCGGGGAGATAGATCCATGGATATCCAATCTCACATCAATGAAAATTTTGTGAGCTTCTCTCTTATAACATTATCCTGAGCTATTAGTGATGGGAGCTAAGTAAGCTAAATTAATTCAATCATCATGGCAAGGACTTATCAGACAACAGTTTGACGGGACCAGTGCCTGATTTTCTATCAGATTTACCATTCTTGACAGTGCTGTAAGTTACTCAGAAAGTAGAGTTTCACAGTTAAGGGCGCCAAAGATTGTCTTTACTGTCTATTCGCAGAAACCTAAGTAGGAACAAACTCAAAGGTTCAGTTCCAACCAGACTCATGGAGAAAATGGAAAAAGGTTTGCTGTCACTAAGGTTAGCTTTTGGTCCAAAGTTAATATCTATTCTACAGCGTTGTTATCATTTCAAGTCTATGTTGTTTAATCTTCTGTTGATTCTAGTGTGAACGGGAATCAAGATCTTTACATTCCAAGTTCACATAAAAAGAAGAACAAGTTTATTTTCCAGTAGCAGCAGCAGTTGTTTCAATTTCTATCCTCTCAGCTGCAATAGCTATTTTGTGGAGCTTTAAAAGAAGAAAACGAGGTACTAACACCATTTTTCTTTTTCAAGAAAAAACTATGACAATATCATTTCGTTGATGAAATATAACAAAAGTCATCCCCTGAAAAGTTTTCTCATCTCTATCTTGATTTTCCTTTCTTTCTTTTTTCTCAATCAAATCAGAATCCTTAACAGTACTCTTTGCTATTAGCAATCAAATTAAATTTTGAAAATTTTCCGATACAGAAGACAAATGGTGGTTATCATTTATTATAGTAGGAGTAGCTCTACTGGTTCCCCTGTTCTGCTACTTATGCTGTTTGATATGGAGAATACGCAAGGCAAAAAGTAAAGAGCTTGGAACAAATAAATATAATTGCAAATTATCAATCATGATTATTAGAATCTTATTTCTATGTATCTAATTTAGTGGAGAACATAAAGAACCAAGAGAAGCTATTACGTGAATTTGGAGACAATTTGTCACCTTCATCAGCAGACGGCAAACGCATAACAGAAGACAAAAATGGCAATATCAAGCATGAACTCAATATATTTAAGTTTCAAACCATCGTTGCTGCTACAAACAATTTCTCAACTACAAATGTGCTTGGGAAGGGTGGTTTTGGTGCAGTTTACAAGGTACGACTTTGCAGCTATTTAATTGATAGTAGTTGTATAATGATCAATTGTCATACAGTTGTGATTTCAGGGGATATTACTTGACGGGCAAGAAATACCAAAAAAGAGACTCTCAAAAAGTTCTAACCAAGGAATAGAAGAGTTCCAAAATGAAGCAAAGCTTATTGCAAAACTCCAGCATACTAATCTTGTTAGACTTTTAGGGTGTTCTCTGCAGGCAGAAGAAAGGATTTTAATCTATGAGTACATTCCAAACAAAAGCTTGGATTTCTTCATTTTCGGTAGGCCATTTCAGCATGTGATGAATTTGCAACGCGAGTTTCTCACTTATCAACTACTTAATTTTGATTTGTTGCTTTGTGGCAGATTCTCATAGAAAGAAACTGTTAAACTGGAAGATACGATTCAACATAATTGAAGAAGTTGCTCAAGGACTTATTTATCTACACAAATACTCTAGATTAAGAGTAATTCACAGAGACTTGAAAGTTGCCAACATTTTATTAGATGATCAAATGAATCCAAAAATATATGATTTTGGTATAGCTAGAATCTTTGGGGTGAATGAATCTATAGCAAATACAAATAGAATTGTTGGGACATAGTAGGTATATGCTAAATTTTCTACCAATAGACATGGATTGTATACCTTTTTAAATAATTTTTTAACCAGAGTTTGATTTTTACAGTGGCTATATGTCTCCGAAGTATGCCATGAATGGCATTGTGTCAATTAAAATTGATGTATATAATTTTGGAGTTTTAGTACTAGAAATTGTGAGTGGCAAGAAGAACAATGGCTGCTATCACACAGAACATCCACTCAATCTCAATCTTGTGGGATATGTAAGTTCTCAATCAAATTGTGTACTTTTCACAAAGGTATGGAATCTAACCTTGAATATCTCGTGCTTCAGACATGGCAGCTATGGAATGAAGGTAAAGGCTTGGAGCTAATGGATCCAACAATGGATGAATCTTGCTCTCCTGATGAAGTATTAGATGCCTACATGTGGGTCTCCTATGTGCACAAGACTAGGCAATTGAAAGACCCACAATGGCAAAAGTTGTTTCCATGCTCACAAATGAAGCAATTCTTGTACCTGCACGAAAACAACTAGCATTTTATATCAATGACACTACTAAAGAGTCAGAAAAACCTAGAAAAAAGGTAGAAGATTGTTCCATAAACACTATAACAATCTCAGTAATGGAAGCTAGATAAACATACTAGTAATCTACTTGGTTATTGAGACCACTACAACGGGAAAGAGGTAAAAAGAAAATTGCTTTAAATGATTTAATACTCCATTAAATTGTGAAATTGGCAATCTGAATGTATATAATCTATTGAGTGAACTATGTAAAACTCTGCTTTTACAGGCTATAAACCTGAGATGTTAAAACAATAAAAAGTCTTTATCTTTTTATAATTTGACAAGTTCATGGAAATTATTAGATCTATTTCGTTATCATAAGAAAAGGTTTCTACTCCAAAATTTAAAGAAGAAAAAAAGATATTGGGCCTACAGACATGCTTGGGCCACCAGGAACTTGGGCTACTTCAGAAGCGATCGAAGAACTTAAGAGGATGTTTGTCTGAGCTTATAAGTTGGTCAAACTAGCTTATAAATTCTAAAATTAAACTAATATGTTTGTTTGTAACTTTTGAAGGCTTATCGCTGGGATTATAAGCCAAAAGAAATAAGTTGGGAGGAAGATACTTTTTTTTTTTTTTTTTTTTAAGCTTATAAGCACTTTGCTTATAAGTTACTTTGACCAAATATTTTATAAGCCCTTTTTAATTTTAAAATTCTATCCTACACCGTTATTTTTAGATTTGTTCATTATATTTGTTCATTAGTTTATTTTGTATAAAGAATTTAAAAACTATTCATATAAATTTTTAATAAAATATTTGTATATAAAGTATTTGTTTATTTAATTCTAAAATTAAATTATATTGTAATATGATCAAAATATATTTTGATAATATTATAGTAAAAAATTAAGTTAATATAATTTATTATTTAATAAAATAATGTGGTACCTTTTTTAGTCATTTTAATAATAAAATGTACTTATAAGCCACATTTCATCAAATGTGTCAATTACTTATCAGTCCCTTATAAGTATTTTAATCAAACACACGTAACTGCTTAAATTTCAAATACTCATAAGCTTAAATTAGCTTCTAAGCACTAACTACTTATAAGCTAATTTTCATAAGCTCAGCCAAACAGGCTCTCAATCTGTTTCACTGAAGTGGCCAGGGCACTTCAAACTCTAAATTCATTAATTTAAATAAAAGTTCAATGATTGGGGTAGTCCTTAGTTAATTAATAAAAAATGCGAAGCTTAGTCAAACCAAAGTGGATAAATTATCCTAAGAAGTGCTCCCTCTAACTCTTTATACTTGTTGATACGAAAATTCACACTAACCAAGGAGATCTAATTGACCTTGACGGAATCATAACAGATGTGTACGTGACTTAATGAAAATCAGCAATGCAATGTAAAAGTGCAGTAAAATAAGAACACAAACAAATTTTTTAAGTGGTTCAACAAGTTGAGACTTAAGCCTACACCCACTATTCTCTTTTTACTTTGAGAGCTTACAAAAAAATATGTAAGAGCTAACCTCTTTCTCATAGTTTGATGGGGTATTTATACAAGTTTTCAGTAAAGGAAAGAGAGACAAATTTGGGATTGCAATCAGACTTGGTATGCAATCCCGTGATTTTAGTGATATAGCGCTAAGATCACGCTGCCAGTGATGTTGAACTTATCTCTTCTGAAGTATCAAAGATTGAAGGTTATCCTTGATTTTTCGAACAATTATTAAGATTGGTCACTGTGATGAGCTTTAGCAGAGTCGAGCTTACTCTGGATCGCGCTAATTTTGGGTCAAGCCTATTCAGGGTCGCGTTGATTCAGGGTCGGCAGAGTTAGGATGGCAACCTTTGGGAATATCAAAATCCAATGTTTTTTTTTTTTTAAAATACGGTTACTAATAAAATCAAATATGTTTTAAGATTGTTATAAAATAATCAATTATTATATCAATAACTGCAAATAATAGGTATATTGAATATGAAAACAATATAACTATATGTCAATAAAATAAAATAACAATACAATAAATATAACAATACCATCAACGAGATCACGTGTATGAGATCCTTCAGAATGATAGGAAGAAATCTGGTAAAGAATATAACCTTAGGATGAATGTCGATACCTGTGTAACACACAGTTTCCTTAAAATAGACTCGCCTCCTTCACTCGAGTGCACAAGGATTTGAGCAGCGTCTGTTTCCCAGGATACAACAATAGATGAATAGCAAGAGAAGCACCACTCTTCTATTCTAGCAAACTGAATTAAACCTTAACTCCAACAAAAGAAAACCTTAAGAAAAACTAGAGAGAAAATGAGAGATTAAAAGAGCTCTCAATTTTTGTGTGTTTAGAATGAGAGGAAAAACACCTTTTTGTACTACTCAAGGTGGGACAAAACATTGAATTCCACCATTATTTTCAACATTTTCATTTTCCAACTTTAAAATCTCCTCCATTAATCCACTAACCTTTCACCTTTCAAATTCTCAACTTACATCATCAGATCTCATTTCATTCAATTTAACTAATAAATTCCAACATTGCGTACTTCTCGTTGGTGCGAAAAACCGTGTCAACAATATATATACCTTAACCTTGTCCATATATAAATGAGGAGCAAGGAGTTTTCTTTGATGAAGCCAGACATGTCCACTTGAAGTTAAAATGCCCTTACCAAGAAGAGGACCACGTTCCTTTTGCTGATATGAAGGCTTCCTCAAATCTAAAGATGTGCATGTGCTTATCTCTTTCATTACATCACCTTCGGCAACACATAATATTAGGGGCGGATTTAATGAATGACGAGTGGGGACCACGGCCTCCACTCAATTTTTTACAAATTTCAGATTTTCTATTTATTTAAATTTTATCCTTATAAATCTTTAAGATTTTGAGAACGGAATAGCTAACCCCCATGGTAAGTTTGGATTTTGTTTTTGTAAAATCATGTTTTTAATTCTAATATATTTATTACATATTCTTTGTGATTTTTATTTCTATGCAAGGGGATCTATTAGTTTTTAAAAATTTTATTGGGAGTGAAAATGAAAGGAATAAGAGTTGTTAGGTTTGCACGTAATGGTTTAAATCCTAAACAAAGGGGTGAAGCATGTAATCTATTTAGGGGTGAAAATCAAGTCGAGCTACTCGCGAGCCACTCAAACTATACTTGATGTTGGCTTGAACTCGACTCTGCATTAGTCGAGTCGAGTTCGAGTAGTTAATCAAGTAAAACTCGACTCAATATATTTGCGAGTATTTCCAAGCTCGTTGGTTAAGTTGACAGTTTTTAAAGTAACAGGGGTCATACGTAATTTAAAAGTTATAAAATTTGCAAATCCACCCCTGTTAGATGAGCTTGAAATCAAGTTCGAACTTGAACTCGATTAAAACTTGAATAAAACTCGACTAAAAACTTGAAAAAAGCTTGATTATACGAACTTGAATTCGAACTTGATTTCCAATTTCAAGTACTAAGTTCGAGTTTGAACTTGATTTCTTAGGTTCGATCAGGCTTGAACTCGAACTCGAACTCGAACTCGGTACTATAGAGATCGAGTTGAGTTCGATTTACCAAATACTCGACTTGATTCGATTTCACCCCTAAATCTATTAGATGTAATCTATTCCTTTGATTTTGCATTTAGCTTGCATATGATGAAAAGTATATTGGCAATTACTAATGAGTTGTCACAAGCATTGCAGAGAAAAGATCAAGACATTATAAATGCTATGGCCCTAATCAAAGTCTCCAAAACAATGGTTACAATTGTTGAGAGATGAAGGATGGAAATCTTTGTTGAGTGAAATTTCTTTATTTTGCCAAAAACATGATATTGCCATTTTGAATATGGATGATATGTTTGCAATTCGAAGGAGGCCATGACGAAGAGTTGAGCACATGAAAAATTTGCATCACTATCAAGTTGAATTGTTTTATACGGTGATAGATATGCAACTTCAAGAACTTAACACTTGTTTCACTAAGGTTAGTACTGAGCTGCTTCTTTGTATGACATGTTTAGATCCAGTATTCATTCTCTACTTTGACAAGCATAAGTTGATCCGTTTTGCCCAATTTTATCCAACAGATTTTTCCACTGAGTTGATATTACTTGAGAACCATAGTAGGATATTTATTGACAGACGTTCTTATAATGAATTTTGCTGAGTTATAAGAAATTGGTGATTGGGCTAAGATTTTAGTTCAGTTTAAAAAAGACATTTTGTATCCGTTGGAGTATAAGCTTGTGAAACGCATTGGTTTTACTAGTTGCAACTGTGATCGTTGAAAGGATTTTTTCTGCAATGAACTTGTATAAAGTTGGTTACGCAATCGATGTGATCAATGGATGAATGATTGCTTGGTCACCTATATTGCGAAAGATGTATTTGATACAGTTGTGATGAGATAATTATCCAACGTTTTCAGAATATGAAAACGCGTCGAGGACAATTATAGAAAAATTATTTTATTTTTACAAAAAATTGGTGTTTTAAAGATATTTATTTGTATTTTATAAATTTTTGTTGAAGCTCTCATAATGAAAAAAAAAAGTATGAATATGATTGGTTTACATTTTTTTTTTTTTTTTTTTTTGTTTATTTTTTGCCCCCATCGAGTGAAATTCCTGGATCGCCACTGCATAATATGTTTATTTTCCCAATGAAAACATAAATACTTTACCTGTTTTTTGTTTATTAATTCATGCATTTTTAGACATTATTAATTAGAGATATTTTTTACTGATATAGGAAAATCATATCAAAGCTTTACATGAATAACAATTTTATGAATGATCATTAACAAAAGGGAAATTATTTTGTAGAAATAAATAAAATGAATCATAAAAACTACCATATTGCTTCCCATTCCTCAAAAAGGGAAAGATAACAGGAGCAACGTTGTGGGATGGATGATTGAGTATGAGAAGAATGGATTGAGATTTCTGTTAGTGTATATTAGTGTATGCCCTAGAAACCATTCGTGTTGTCGGTTTCA